TCCCCTGGGGCCAACAAGGGCCGCGGGGGGGGGGGGAGGGGGGGGGGGCTGACCCAGTCCCTGCTCAGGAAAATAGAGGCAAAGAAATTGTTAAATACGTTAGCTTTGTCGTCTGGTGTGACGACCAGATTTCCTAGCATGTCTTGCAGAGGCCCACGTTACCTGGTACCTTCTTTTTACGCGCTATATATTTAAAAAAGGACTTCTTGTTATCCTTGATCCGGGTAGCTAGTCCCAGTTCCATCTCCGCTTTGGCCTTCCTGACTGCCCCCCTGCAGCCCCGAGCAACTGAGGTATAGTCCTCCCTGGTGATGGCCCCTCCCTTCCATTGGGTATACACCTCCCTTTTAGCCAGGAGACGTTTCCATATGGTCAAGAAATGTAAATTCTAAATTGTGAGGTGTCAAAAGTTAAGGTAAGTTAGACCTTGCAACAGACATGAACGTAAATAGCAGAAGGTTATTTAGACACTAACTAAGAGAACAAAGAAAGTGGGGCTATGATGCAGTGAGGATGTGCAAAGATTAAGGGTAAAATCTAGGTACGGCAAGAACATTAAATTAATATTTTGACTCAGTTTTCAATAAGAATGATGATAGTGACTATGGAGGGAAAACCAATATGGAAAACGGGAATGAAGTTATGGAAATGGATATAAGCAATTACATGTTACATGAGAAACCATTTGTTTAACATGGAGACAGTGGGGATAAGTAGAAGAATTGTAAAGAATTAACTCAAAGGGTGACCATAACAGGTAAAGTTCAGGTAGACAGCAATAGGTAGAGTAACAGGTAGAGTTTAAAGGAAGGACTAGGCTAGAGAGAGGTTACTAATATTATTCCTAAGGGCCGCCCCACCTTCCCCCACACACATATACAGGTAAAGGTGTCATGGGATCTAATGCACAATCCACATAATTGCACCTCCTACCATGCCACAAGTGCACGGCAGGAGGCATGACTGTGGGATCTCACATTAGATCCTATCACACCTTATTGCTGGTGCACCAGCAAGAAGCAAGATCTCACAGTTAGGACTCCTCTTAGTTGAGGTGCTCCCAGATGTAGGGATGCCCCACATAACACCACAGCTGGGGACTGAGGTACCCCCGAGCCCTAAGGATTGCAGCTGCCTCGATCCTTAGGATCTGGAGGTTTCAAACTAGGCATGGTGCACCCTGCAGCTAATGTGCAAATTGAGCTGATGTACAAAATGTGCTAAAGCTCAATAGCAAGAAGCTATAAAGTTAGTACACATTTACGAGGTATAACTTTATAGCTGGTTGGAACTTGTTATGGTGTGATAGGTATTTTGCATGTAGCTGGTCTTGAGGTAACTGGACAATTTGCCAGTTAAACTGTAAAGTGTAGAGAGGGCCTAAAAGATTATTCTTGGGACCAGTGTAATTTAACATTTTTATTGATGACCTTACCATAGGGGTGGGCAAAATATGGCCCATAGGTCAGATCCGGCCCTCTGAGGGATTTTGTCTGGCTTGCAGTGGGTCCCTCAGTTCCACCTGGCCCAGATGTGGGAGGCAGGCTGGGCCATTGCACATGCGGCTAGTCCTGCCACCCCTAGGTGCAAAGCGGGGCTAGCATGGCCAGACTCCATTTCCCAGTAGCCCCAGTGGTGGTGGTTCCTTCTGGCTGCTGCCACTAGACTCAGCTCCACTGCCTGAACACCCAGGCCTGTCCACCCACACCCACTGTTGAGGATGGGGCCTACACAGGCAGGGTGCTTGGCTGGGTGGCTTGGGTGGGGCCAGCCAGTAGCAGTGTCTGGGAGCGAGACAGGAGGGTGGGGCTTGGGAGACCCTGGGATCTTGGAGTGGTGACAGCATGGGGCCAGGGGCAGAGCCCCAGTTCTGTGGACAGGGATGCTCAGGGAGCAGATTGCTGCTCTGCTGCAGGGCTGGCCAAACACTGTCACCAGCCCAAGATCCCGGGATCTCCATGGACACCAGCTGGGACCCACACAGGCAGGGCCCAAGCCTAGGCTGAGCACCCACTCCAGCCTTGCCCATGCCAGCCATGATGAGTGGCAGCAGCAGGCCAGTATCAGTGAAGATAAAGGTTGCCTTCTACCCCAAGGAGGGGCTAGAGATGCTGGCTGACTTCATGACACTGCCCAGCTTTGGTGGCAGTGGTCTGAGTGTGGAGGCAGCTATTGTCAAGCAGAAGCTGATGCTGAGCATCAGGAAAAAGAGGGCCCTGGTGGCAGGCAAAGCCACCCTTCCCTTGCTGCTGCTGCTGGGGCCCTTCTTGCTATGGCTGCTTGGAACCCAAGCCAGGGATAGCCTGTGGCTTCACCCTGCTGCCACCACCTCACCAGGCATGGGGGCCTGAGGTGACCTTGTTGTGGCAAGGGCCCCAGCTGAGCTGCCCCTGCTGAAGCTGCTGCCCACTACCAATGTGGTAGGAGTAGCTGCTGATCCAAGGTGCCAGCCCTGCACCAACTCCCTGCTCACCTGTTGCCACATCCCACATACGGAATTTTGGTGATATTGCATGGTATGGGGGAGGAGGTGAGGCGGAATGCTGACTTGGCCCATGACAGCTCTGCAAAACTCCCTATGTGGCCCATGGGCTCAAATAACTGCCCACCCCTGACTTAGCACAAATATCAGGAGCAGAGTGAGAAAAGTTTTAAGGACACAATGTTGGAGGGCACTATCAATACAGAAGTAAATCAGAATATTATGTGGGAAGAACAGGATGACTTTTGGGACTGGGGCAATAGAATCAAATGGCATTCAGTAGTGTAAAATGCAAGGCTGTGTACTTTAATGCTGCTAAAAACTTCTGCAGTTAGCTGGGAGCTCATCATTTAGAAAAGGACCTGGGTCAACAGAAGGATGACTCGAGTTGGCAATATGATATGTCTGAAAAAAGACAAAGACAAGCCAGAAACAAATGAGATTAATCTAGGCATTTTCAGGACAGATAGAGAAATAATAGTGGCATTGTACAAGGCACTAGGTGAGATTAAATTTGGAGCATCGTATAAAATTCTGGTCACTCAAGTTAAAAAAAAATTAACTGAAACCTTAATAGATGTAGAAAAGGATTATTAGAACCATCAGGCATATGGAAAGCCTATCTTAAAAAAAGAGATGAAAAACGCTTGGCTTGTTCAGCCTA